TTTGAGTCCGTTCCTTCTTATGCTCGCACTCGGAGATAATTTTCATCAGGAGTAACAACAGTGACGAATTTTCATTGTTTCGTCTACTTTTCTCCATCTCTTGACTCATTCTTGTCCCTTTTAGCGCCATCGTATACATCCGAATCTGGTCATTATGCGGATAGAGTTATATACTTCTCACTCTTATCTAGTAGTAGTAATGTGACAGATTATCTTACAGTCCATACATACATTTCGGATTTGCTAGTTCAGTTTGTACAACCAGTAACCACGCACATTCATGCACCGGTTCTGATTCATGTCTCACGACTGCCTATTTGGATGAAAGAGCTGAAGGAAGATTGGTATGTTGATAGCAGAATCAAAAAGAAGACAAGGAATTCAGATGTACTGAGGTTGCAAGGCAAACGAGTAGATGCAAGAGCAGCACTGAAAAATCACTGTTTCTGTAACCATCGGTTTTTGTTTTTATTTTTTATTATACACCTAAGTTTGATAAACAGCAGACGGGGGCGAACCCCATAGTCACGGGGACCTGCTGCTTAGTGGTGGAAACCGGCAATCTAAGCCCCCGGTCTTATAGTGGCGAACCACATAAGGCTCCGACAGGTTAGGCGTGGTACTGAATCGGACGACTGTAGAGCTGCCTGTCACCAAAATTGGCTGGCGGTGGCGGTGGTGGGGTTCGAACCTCGGACCATAGGGTCCAAAGCACGCCGGTGACAGCGACTAAACCATTGCGCCACCACCACCACCGTGGAAGTCTACCACAGCTCATGTGCGCGAGTCTCCTGGTCAGGTCTTTGTTTGACCATTCTTTACTTTTTCCACCTAACACCTACCCCGGTGTACAACATGCGCCAGGGCAATGTATTTGGTGACATTCGTAGCACATACCTCAACCAGCGCAATCTGTGGACGGCCGCCGTTACCGTAAAATTCTGGACCTAATCTCAACATTCCTCGTCCAGTTACCCTACCAGACTCGTACAGTGTGACGTAGACAGGTGTCGTCGACCACCGACAGTCTATCTTTACCGTGTTTTCATAATGGCCAAGTTTTTTGTACCGTATGGAAGAACCGACCGAACTGCTGCAGTATACGGTCGACCCTTCACAGACAACCGGACATCGCAACGGTGCCAAGTATGTTGGTATATGCCAATCGAGGTTTGTGATTTGTGATTTATCGTTCGAGATTGCCAAGTGTTTTTGTTCCTACTCTGATTCTAGTCATTTTTTGTGATTTTAGAGTCCTGTTTGCTGGCTGGTGACTTTGAATTTATTGTCCCAATCACAGTTTAACTCGGGATATAGAGATAGTTTCGCACGAAGCTACGGATTAGTTGAACGCTGTAACGGCAGTTCGCTTGGTTTTGTGCCGTTAGTTAAAAGGTTCTTTTCCATGATATCCAGTTCTTAACAAATCGAACGACGCCAGCCACTAAGATGAACTCACTTGGCTTACATCCAAATCTGGTACGTTCGCAGAATAGGTGCGTCGTTAACCCGGGTATTTTTCGGTAGTTCCTCTTTGGAGATGTTCTCGGTCAGCGTTGTGTTCAGAGAGTTCCCGTTCCTTGCTGCCATATGGTGCTTCCTTTTCGATAAATGACCTTAGTCGTTCGCACCATTCAGCTAGCAGATGTTGATACTTCGTTAGTTTTCTAATGTTTTATTCTGTTTCCTTCTCAAATCACAGGCCGGACATCGATTCCTTCTGTTCCCAGCTAGGGGTACAACGTTTGCAGATCCTTCGTTCATTCTGTTCAATGGTTGGTATCCAACTGTTATTGCGCGATTACCAGCTAACTCCACCGAATGGGGCCAAGCATCACACTAAACCGGTATTCCAAACCGAGGATATCATATCACTGTACCCGGTTGTCAAACATTTGCATCCGCACGCTACCGACGCCTATCATTACTTCACCACCGGTCAAGCACGCATTTCTGCTGGTCATTTACAGGAGGGTTTCGAGTTGATCAACGAATCACTCAGCCTGTTGACCGGGGTCTACGGTCCCCTACACCCTGATATTGGCGCGTGCAATCGCCTCTTAGCCCGTTTGTCGTACGTCATGGGGGAACATCAGGCTGCACTGTTGTTCCAGCATCGTGCAACAATGATCAGTGAGCGCGTACATGGTGTGGACAATCCAAATACAACAACGGAATATGTGAGTTACTGGCACGACCTGATGTAATTATTACATCATCATGCCAACCGTTTTTTACCTTTGGTGCTTCCCCATCAGCAGCTCGTTTGCACGAGAACATTTTTTGGGACTGTTTTGCAGTTTTGCAGTGAATTTTTAGAGCACCCAAATGCCTATAAGCTTTATGATCACAAAATTGGCTTGATTCTCAGGATCCTGTTGAATCCTTGAAATGCGTAGACCGATTAATTCTACTTTTCCCGTGGAATACTTTGTAGAAAAACAGGCACATTCATCCCACTTATTATAGAATGAATATTTGCAAGTGTTCTCAGCGGTCTTATACCTACTGAAGCACACACACAGATATTAACACATTTGCTAACCTTTTCCACCCATTTGTATTCGGATTAAGAGAAAAAGTTTAATAAGCTAGTTACGCTGTCTTGTGAACAAGTTGCATGAATCTCGCCTTTGAATCTGTTTACCATACCCCATAAACGCATTCATTGCGAACTTTATAAGGATGCAGTCTTACAGTGAACAGTGACATTTAGGTGTATCTTTCTGTTCACGATCCTCCAGCTGAGATGCCGTGACAAGTTGATGTTCTCGTACTACATTCGATTTTCAACTTGATAATTGCGATTTACGTCGCTTAGGGCTTCACAGTTTCCACCTCTACCAACAGCTCTTCCGGAAACATTTTCGAAGAGGCACCCGAAAGAGATTGGATAAAAGCTGTACAAAGCACTTCATTTGGAACACAAGAACCGTTAATCACTACTTGTTTATGTCCAGGATATGTAGAAAAACGCGGATCGGCGAAAGTGCTCCTGAAAAAAAATACTTCAAGTTTCAACTTTATCCACGGGTTATATAGTTCATCAGGTCCCGTTCCACGGATGCAGAGCCTACTGTTATTGCTTTGGTAACAAAATCCACTTGAGGGGTTTTATTCACCTTTGAAACTGTCGAACAGAACTTTTGTTTGATTAATCCCCAAGTCCATTTAAAATGGTTTAAATATTCACATAAGTGTATCCATTCAGGATGTTTTGTAGCGGTCCATCCTGATTGATATAAACGTGCACGACAAGCCATTGATTAACATGCCACGTTTTCCTACCCAATGAAATTCACAGTTCGAACGAAGGTGTCTGAAATCGAGGCCCTGTGATGCATTATTTAAGCATAATACATGGTGTAAACCATAACTTATTAGCCACATGAACTGAATGGCGAACATTGACGTGAAACATGGCTTCATCCACATCAGATAAACCACATCCTACCAGAGAGAGTCGACGTGTAACAAGGAGTTGCATGCCATACATCAGTCAGTGTTTTCACGCGTTTCTACACGAAACTGGTTCACATTCCATCCAACATAACCGCTCCTTGTATTTGCAATTTACCGAACTCAAACTCATGAGATATTTAGACAGAATTCCGTCCAGCTAATGCTAGTTCTGCTAGTTGCAGCCTAATCTAGTCATTCCATTGTTATTCATGTTATACCGGGTTCTCAACGAGTTGGATTATAAGTGTAAAAATTTTATGCCTTGTATATTTCATGTCAGGACACAGGAATTTAGATGTGTGAGTAGATAAGGGTATATAATAATTTAACGCGTCTGAGTTCAAAATATGTCCCAAACCAATCACCATACAATCATCTTTATAACAAAGGAAGTTATCTATGCATGCTTATGCATAATAGAAAAATAAATGCAATTGGTCCATTGAGGTTAAATGTGAAAGTACAAGTATGTTCGGTAACGTCACTTAACAACGACAGACGCTGTAGCAATCAAAATCGTGAACCCACCAATGTGCAAACAGAAGAAAATGGTTGCCGCATTCCTGTTTCCTTGGCTCCGCCCAAACCTACGTGACGATCCGGACCATGACTTTAATAATGTTGTGATGACGCAATGTGAAAGTACAATGTCTGTCAAGTTAAAGGTCATCGGAAGTTTCCAGAATTGACTTTGGTCCCCCTTTTCTCCATTTGCCCTGATTTAACTTGACAGACATTGTACTTTCACATTTGACCTCATTTGACCAATCACATTAAATGCAAATGCCTAAATACGAAGTTATGAAAACAAGCTTGTTCGCTATGTTTTCTGTCTTTCGATACTGTTATGGTAATCTTCCATAGAAATGGTCTATGGTTGGCTAATGGGCGAAACACTGCCCTGTTACTCAGATCAGTGGTGTGTTTCGTAGGAGGGTTCATGATCAAGCCATTTGGTTGTCCAAAGCCCAACACTCAAATCCCTGGTATCCGG